TACTGATTAACTTTTATTTGTGCCAAAAGCAGATAACCAATTATGCCAGCTAATAGATAGGACTCTCTTTCTGTGTGGGATGCTGCTGCCCTTAACAAGTTAAACAAGTTGCACTGTATGTGGAACATGATAATCATTCATTAAATGTTCAGCCCAGCATATTAAAAATTAGTATATTTAAGTAAAATGTACACCTTTAATGAGGACACAGAATGTAAATTAGTGCTAAAGTATTTATTGTACAATAGTGATAATCCAGACATTTTTATATTTAAAGTTAATTCTTAAAAAATAAAGACATGGGGGGCCGGCCCGGTGGCGCAGCAGTTAAGCACGCATGCTCCGCTTTGGTGGCCCGGGGTTCGCAGGTCTGGATCCCCAACACACACCGATACACTGCTTGTCAAGCCATGCTGTGGCGGCGTCCCATATAAAGTAGAGGAAGATGGGCACGGATGTTAGCCCAGGGCCAGTCTTCCTCAGCAAAACAGAGGAGGATTGGCATCGGATGTTAGCTCAGGGCTAGTCCTCCTCACAAAACAAAAATGAAGACATGGAATTTCTAATTAAGTTCAGCATAAAGACTTGCTCCTTCAACCTGAATATTTCAAAACAGTTAAACTTCTTTTAATCCTGCTTGGTATATTTTGATAAAAATAATACTGTGTCAACATTTTTTATTTATTTAATCATAACTTGTTTGTGAAGGTTTGTTTTTAATTAAACTGTGGTAGTGAAAATCTATAAGGAACTGTTAAAATGTTAGACTCTTAAGGAACTTGTCACATGTTCTTTTTGTCTTTGAAGGGGTTTTTTCCCTTTTTTTTTTCTTGTTGCTTCTGCTGTACTATAGATATTTCAAAGGCTGCTATATCAGCATATGAACACGTTTATCCTTGAATAAATAATAAATTGTTTTAAAATTGTACTATTAAAAGGCATAGTTTTAAAACTCTTTAATTTCTTAGTAGTAGTTTCCAAACAAGTGAGAATGGTTTTGGTTGTGCCTTATATTAATAACTGTCAGTTCTGAAACTAGTCCATTTTTATCAAATGAAAATAATAAGCACATATGAGAGTGTCTATATGTTTCTTGTTGAAATTCCATATTTCTAATGTAAATAAAGATAAGGATCCCAATAATTATAAATAGCTCCTTACTAGTTTTTATATTTGGTGACAAAAGATAAATCAAGAATCAGTTTGCCCACTTGTTGTGTAGTGGTTCTTAACCTTTTCTGGATTTCATTGACTCCATACATGGCCACAAGCACGTACACACCAATATTTTGAACACAGTAGCAGAGGATTCATGAATCCGCCAAAGCTCACCATCCCCTAAGGGAGTCCTCTATCCTTCCTGCTCTAGGATAATCAGGATAGAATGTGAGCTCCACTAGAGTAGGAAATTGTTGTTGTTCACTTCTGGGTCTCTTGCACTTGCCTGGCACATAGTAAGTGTTTAGTAAATATCTGTTGAATGAATAGGCAGCATAGTGTGATTTCTGCAGCTCTTCCCAGACATTCTGCAGATTCAGCACACAGAGCTCTGGCTAGAGTTAGCTAAGGAGCCTAATCATATGTGTTGAGTTAAGTGGGATTGAAGAACCAGACTGGGGCCATATTAAGGACCTAGGAGGCTGTGTATTGTTAGATGCAAACTTTGTCAGTCACCTTTATCTTCCTCTCTTTAACTGAAAGATAAAGGAATGAAGTTAAAAGACTTCTTTTACTTAAAAGTCTCCCTTTTCAGGACCACTACTGAAAGTTTCATCTTTTATAGGAGAGCTAACATTGTGCTTTGATAGTTTCCTCTTAATTATTCCTAACTATATTTATGATATATTTTACAGAAACAAAGTAATCTTAATGTTTTATTTAGGCTTTTAATTAGTTTTGATAGTTCTGATACTATACAGTAGATAGGCATACTGAACTAAGTAATAATGACACAAGTTTCAGAAATCAGTACTACATAGAGCTCACGAATGATATAGTCAACATTTTGTAGCTACCTGAAATCACCAATATATTGCAGAAGCTTTTTATTCCAAAAAAAAGATATTGCGTGATTTCCTCCCTTCTCATCAAGATTGCTTTGAGAAAATGATAGCTGAGATTTAGAATATATTTGAGTGTGATGTTTATTTACCTATAGATGACTATCTTTTCATTTTAAAGTTATACGTAGAAGAAAGATGTAATAAACAGTGACTCTTTCATTGTTCTAGGTTGGATCAGATGTTTTCAGATGCCTTTAGTAAAGATCACCAGCTAATTCGAGCTGACCCCAAACATAGTCTCTACCTCGCCTGTGCCCTCATGGTTAGAGGAAATGTACAGATTTCAGATCTTCGCAGAAATATTGAAAGGTTTGATTGTATATGTTTCAAGATAATTTATGTGTACTACTTAAAACAGTGTAGCATAGTATTAAGACAGCCTCTCTTCAAGTGCTAGTGTTGCCACTTAACTAAAGTCTGACCTTAAGCAAGCTCCTTAACCTCTCTGAGCCTTATCTTCCTCAAATGTAAAATAAGAATAATAATAGTACAAAATTGTTATTTATGAGTAGTAAATGATATATGAGATGTTTTATTTTTCTGAAAGTGTTCAGAAAATTTAACTGTTATTGTTTTTATTACCACCATTACGCTGCTTCTTAAAGTTTATGTTTTACTATTTATTGACAGTCTATTTTTAGAACTGCTCTATTGAATTACAAAGTAAGGAAAATTATAATACCTTTATTTCTTTATATCCCCAGATTTTTAATGTTAAGCAACGTGTTTCTAGCTTTTTGAATTACTATCACAGCCAAACTAATGTCTTCCTACTAAATGTCCCTTAGTTCACTGTCAGACTGTGCCATGATACTGCTAATAGTAAAAAATAGAGAACTTGCATTATAAACTAAGCAATTAGAGTTGTACCATCAGTAATATTGTAGTTTAACTGATGTGGGCTGCCACAATGTGGCAGACATTTTTAGTGCCTTAATTCTTACCTTTGAATTTTTGTATCTCAGATTGAAACCTTCTCTACAGTTTGTCTCGTGGAATCAAGAAGGCTGGAAGACCAGCCTGTGTTCAGTACCTCCTGTGGGCCATTCTCATTCATTATTAGCTTTAGCAAATAACACATGCGTGAAGCCTACCTTCATGGAACTGAGAGAGAGATTCATGAGGCTCTACAAGAAAAAGGTAATTATCCGTACAGCTTTGTAACTATACGTGTTTATTTTGGCTGTTGACGATGTATTCTCAAGAATTACACTATTAAAACCAGAGGTGATCCTGTCTGCTGTATTTGTTGTACTGATTATAGCTGGAGAGGCTTACTTAGATGGTCTAAATGAGAAATCGCATGAGTTTATAGGATTTGAGTTTTCATTTCTCTTGTAAAGCTGAGTGAACTATCTTAATAAAGAATATTTACGTTATAGGACAGTGATATGTATTAAATTTCCTAAAAATGATCAACAGTATCCAGTTTTTTTAATTTATAGGCTCATCTTCATCACTATCTGCAAATTGAAGGGATGGAGGAAAGCTGTTTCACAGAAGCTGAGTCATCTTTATCAGCACTCATACAGGAATATAACCAACTAGATGCCACAAAAAGCATGCCTGTGGAAGATTTACCAAGACTAAGCATAGCTGTGTAAAAAAGAAACCCAGAAAATACAACTTTTGCTTTTTCTTAATTTCACATTGCTTTTTGTCACCTTACCTTTCTGTTTCAGAGTTTTTGTGATTCAGAAAGCCCAGTTTGTGTTTTTCTTATTAGGAAGTATTTTTGTCTAAAAGGATGGTTTCCATTTAATCACAATTTGTTGAGGATACCAGTGTGTGAAATTAGTGAAGTCCTAGTGCCTTAACTTCAAACATTTGTCTTCAGAAATTTCCCCTGTTTGAAAATTGATAGAACAGAGTTCTTCAACATTTTACTTTACTTATAGTCTCATATTTAGGCATTTATACAATGATAATCGTGTCTTCAGTAAAAATCTTGTACAGATATATTGTTATATTTATTTATAATTTATGTTTTCATATTCTGTTTAAATTCTCCTGATTCTTTAAAAGTAAGTAAGGGAGTAGAAGGACACATTATGAATATTTCTTTGTAATATCCACTATCTTTAGGGATAGGTTTTATTATAACTGTTAAGGAGGTTTTTCTTCTTTGGGTAACCACTTGTTTGTGCTCAAAAGAATCACAATTTACATTTATTTTAAATGTATTTGTACTAAATTATTTTTAAACATAATGCTTTTTTTTCAAAACAGTTGACTTTGTAATAATAAATGTCCATAGTTTCAAACAGTGCTACTTGTTGTCATTGTTTTGCTTGTCACCATTTCTACAAGCGAACAGAACATTACTAAGCTTGATATCTTCCAGACTTTGAATAAATGGCTATAATAGTCTAGTGAAAGTGTTACAATTACTACAATCTCCAATTTTAATCTTTAACATTAATTTATCTTTAATCACAATTTATATTTCAAATCCATAGTTTGATTTATCATTTAAGGAAGTAATTTTTAGGAGCAATTTATTTTCAAGCCAAAATAATCTGTTGTGTGCTTTCTTTAGTGTTAGGTTTTTTAAGTTTCTTTCCTTTTCAAAGTAAGGATACTGCTCTTGGTCTTTATCTTGGAAATTTAATTTTTTACAATATTTAGTATAAAAGCTTTTAGATTACAGTTGTCAACAGTGGCCAAAGAGTTCCATTTTCTCCTTCCAAAAGAAACCTGAATAAACTGATATTGAGGGTAAGGCAATGGAAATTATAAATATATTTAAAGTTTAATCTTATTCCTATTTAAGACTTAATCTAGAATCTTCTCACCTTATAATGATTATCATCTGATGGGAGCCTAGGCTACATTGTCAAAGTACAGATAAAGTTTTAAAAATTTAATGTGCTTTTTACGCATCTTCAACAAAGGATTCCAAATTATTTTAGAATAAAATGTTTTCTTGTAAATTGTGTAATTTTTCCATTATGTATGGAATACGTAGATGGAACCAAATATCTGTGTATTACATAAATTATAAGATACATTTTAGTGTTCTACTTTAAGCTTTTCAAATTTTACATTATTTTTAGGAGAACCTTTTTAAAAGCTTCTAATGTCTTACATACAGTCATCTGAGAATAGCTAGGCATTCTTACTATTTTAAGTCAATAAGGCAGATTTGCCAACCTTTTAAAACCATTTTAATTTTGTGATATAATGACATGATTGACTGACCTTAACTTTTCCCCCGTGTGCTTGGTTTTATAGGATCTCAAGCTCAGAAAATATATCCCCTGGATCTCTGCAGTTTCTCTGACATACACAAGATGTAATCCACAGCATCCTCCATTTAAATGACCCTTCATTTGGGCAATCAAATTGAATGGTAATCATTTTAGACTTATTAGGGACACAGCATCTCTTATCCAAGCATACTCCACAGAAAGTGGGTTTATAACTGTGAGTGCTTGTGCATCCAGAAAAGACAAATTTTTCAGCTTTGGAGAGTTGGAAAGTAGGTTGGCACGTTTTTCCTTTGGGGATCTGAAAAGATACATAACATTAAGAAGTCATTCTTTAAATTTGATTACAATAGTTTAGAAAAGTGATACTATATTGTACATTTTATAACACAAACACACAGATATAACTATTTCTAGGGCATTAATAGTTGCTATTTATTGACTTACAGCACTCTCTTTTCTACCTTTAAAATCCCCTCTTACCAGAGGTCTGTCATCCCTTTTCTTGCTCCATCATATTATAGGACTCACTTTCCAATGTTCTTTGCTATCTACTCTTCACTTAGTTCCACAATAAATGAAAATTTCTACTTTGTTTAATATCAAGGGCCATGTCTTATTAAATGTTTATTTACCTAAGACTCAGCAAATTCCGTTAACACAGCTCAGACGGTTTAAGTAGATGGATAAATGAATGAATATCTTAATCCCTTTAAAATTGAGTTGTCAGCTTCCTAATATGATAGGGAAAAACTTGGAGATGTGGAGAAGGGTTTTGTAGCATTTCTAAAAATTATTCTTGAGACAGTGATCTGCCTAGTTCTAGGAGGAGGACCGGCTCTGGTTATACCAAGCAATCTTAGTATAAGGTTTTTTTTTGGTGAGGAATATTAGCCCTGAGCTAACATCTGTTGCCGGTCTTCCTCTATTTTGTATGTGGGATGCCTCCACAGCATGGCTTGAAGAGCGCTGTGTAGGTCCGTGCCCGGGATCCAAACCTGTGAACCCCAGACTGCCGAAGTGGAGCATGCAAACTTAACCACTACGCCACCCAGGCCGGCCCCTAGAATAAGTATTTTCATAGTCCTCTGCCAAGTTTACTATCTAAGCACAGAGAATTTTGGAAATGGTGTGGTTCCCCCTCCAAGCTGGTGATATGTAACTAAGATCAGAACTTCTCTGATGATCAAAATATCTGTTTCTGTAATTATGATATAGCAACCAAAATCTTTTATCCATTGCTTCGTTTCCTCTACATAAAATTAATATAGAAAAAAGAAGTTAGAATCTGAAAAGGATCTACTCTTAAAAAACATTATACAGGGGCCAGCTCCATGGCATAGTGGTTGAATTCGGCACGTTCCACTTCAGCGGCCTGGGTTCACAGGTTTGGATCACAGACGCAGACCTACACCACTCATCAGCCATGCTGAGGTGGCAACCCACGTACAAAATAGAGGAAGACTGGCATAGATGTTAGCTCAGGGCAAATCTTCCTCACTAAAAAAAACAACCAAACGTTTGTACATGGCAGGGTACCACAACACATCAGGCTGATCAAGACCCATACTATTAAGCTGTGAGAGTATCTAGAATCAACAGGTTAACGTTAACCTTATGCTTGGTGCAAGTTTCCCCATGAAGTGCAGTTAGATTAATATCTGCGTTCCTCTGAGATAGTTTGACTCTAAGAGTACAATGAGGTGATTTTATAAAAACCAAACACCATCCCTCCTTCCAAAACATGTACACACACACACACACACTTTTCAGGATCTCTTAATATTGAATTACAATGAAGTTAAATCTCATTAAACTTCACCTTTACTGTCTTTGATATATTACTGTCACAAGGCTGAATATAACACAGTCTTTTCTCTTTTCTCATTTCACAGTTGCTGTTTTCATTGGTTACCCTATTAGATATTCCCATCCCACATGTTGTGGAACAAGGGGTCCATTTTGTTGCTTGCACAAGACATTTTCTTTTCCAAATAAGTGGGAGATTCCTATAAGCTAAAATAAATGCAGAAAAATATGTAAATATTTTTTATACATGTATATATATACACACATACATATAGACATTCATGTAGATAGATAATTTTTTTTTTTTTTATAATTTTATTTGTTTATTTATTTTTCCCCCAAAGCCCCAGCAGATAGTTGTATGTCATAGTTGCACATTCTTCTAGTTGCTGTATGTGGGACGCGGCCTCAGCATGGCCGGAGAAGCAGCGCGTCTGTGCGCGCCCAGGATCCGAACCCGGGCCGCCTGCATCGGAGCGCACGCACTTAACCGCTAAGCCACGGTGCCGGCCCATAGATAGATAATTTTTAATTGTTATTTTTAAGCTAATCGTTAATAGAGCTGAACCTTTGTTTTTATATAATGTAACTCAGAATACAATAAGCTTATGGTCTAACTTATTCTCTCTTTGTCCCACTCCCCAAATTACCTTTCAATCAAGTGCTACAGTCCAGTTTCTTAGGAAAAATAAAAATACTTTATCTTTGAAAAACAGTAGATTAACCCATTTGCTTCTTGCTGCTTAGCCCATCCTCTAAGTACTAAACTGAAGCTTATGTCCTGATGGATATCTCCCTTTTCTCTGGTTCTTGCCTCATGCTGATATTATTTCCAACAGATGTTGAAATACACATTAGTAGGATTTTGTGGTCTTAATGTTAAATGGTGTGATATATTAAAATATAAAAGTTATATTTGAGAATTAGACTATCAATAAGATCAATTATTTTTCCTCCACTTGTTTTAATCTAGTCTTTCAGAAAATTCTCTACATTACACTGAACTAAACTATCTAAATAATCATTATATACTAAGTCATGGCAAATGTGTAATCTATTTTATTCATTCAGCTTAATTGTTACATTTCCTATGGTATCAGGCCCCTGATAGTCCCTCCATCTACTAACCATTTCAAATCACTTGTAGAAAGATGGGGAATGAATAGATGGATGGATCTATGGATGGGTAGGTGAATGTGTGGATCGATGGAGACCCTCCACTGCTGCTTAGGAGAAATGCGAGGGGAAGGGGGAGAATAATGAGATTATAAAGAGGGCATAATAATTCTTCCATCTCTTTGTAGATCCATTGGGAACTTCTTGTTCTGTTCATGAATGAATCAGGCCCTTGGTTCATTTTAATCAAACTACATATTGGTTTATTGTCTTAAGGCATTTCCTTAAGGTTAATGTGCATCCTAAAATGGATGCTTTGGGAATAAGATGATTTGAGTCTGCAGTTGAACATAGCAGAATTTTGAGTACATTACTTCAAAATGTCAATTTAAAACTCAAAAAGACTCCCCCCCCCAAAAATACCTTCTTGATAGGAAATACCAGTCACTTTGAAGTATGTGCTATCTTTGAATAAAAATGCTTTGATACTGTTTTCAGTGTTATTACTGTAGGATCTTGCAATTGCATACAGAACTGAGGGACAGGAAGCAGAAACATGAAGATACCTGGAAGGTAGACAACAGTTATAAGACCTCAACACAGGAAGCAGATTAAAAGCCTGGCACGCATCTGCAATAAATAAAGGTAGGTTAGATGATCGCATTACCAATAATCCCTGTTAAAGTTAAGGCAAGAGCTGCAGTTCAGGAATTTGTTTAACATTCATTAAAAAGCAAGAAAACTAGAAGAAATTTTTAAAAGTTTAGTGTTTGGTGAGCAGTGAGAAAAGCATGGGGGCATGATGTCATTACATGCTTCATACTGACCAAGCAAAAGGTAGATTCCGACTCTAGACCATCTGGAATTAACTAAGTAAATAAATTACTATCACAAATATATCTTTTTTGTGTGTGTGTGAGGAAGATCAGCCCTGAGCTAACATCCATGCTAATCCTCCTCTTTTTGCTGAGGAAGACCAGCTCTGAGCTAACGTCTATTGCCAATCCTCCTCCTTTTTTTTCCCCCCCCAAAGCCCCAGTAGATAGTTGTATGTCACAGTTGCACATCCTTCTAGTTGCTGTATGTGGGACGCGGCCTCAGCATGGCCGGAGAAGCGGTGCGTCGGTGCGCGCCCGGGATCCGAACCCGGGCCGCCAGTGGCGGAGCGCATGCACTTAACCGCTAATCCACGGGACCGGCCCACAAATATATCTTCAAGTGTCTGTTTGTCATTGTGGTTATTTTTAAAAGCCAAACTCCTGTTTGGGCCCATAAGTACAGTTTCACAGTTAATCAGAGGAGAGACATTTGACTGAGTATATACTTTGAAACATATCTAGGCCTATATCTCAAATGCCAGAGAGCATTTTGGAAGATTTTTCTCATGTTTTGTAGCAAAGCACAAACCGCTAAGAATGACCATCTGACACGTCCTCCAACCACGTTTCAAGTGAATCTTCTGAAACTGCTCTAACTCCACAGGCAAGACCAATTTGAACTTGATCCAGAGGGCTTATGGGAAACTGTTGCTCTAAGGTAGTCTCTCACCCGGGAGGTTCATGCATGGGTTCTAAGAAGAACCTTATATTGAGTCACTTAGATCTAATGCAGATAAACCAACTGTTCCTATACAGTTTGAAAAAAGAACAATTTGGCTTATAATTTCATACATTTTAGAGCATTACAGTCATGCATCACTTAACAATGGGGATAGGTTCTGAGAAAGGCATTGTTAGGCGATTTTGTCGTTGTGCAAACATCATAGAGTGTAGTTAAACAAACCTAGATGGTGTAGCCTACTACACACCTCGGCTGTATGGTACTAATCTTATGGGACCACCATTGTATATGTGGTCTGTCATTGACCAAAACTTCATTATGTGGCATATGACTATAGTAGTGTCATGCTGTTAGTTGAATAACTACATAAGGTAAATGCAAATTTACCACAACCTCTTACATTTTTTTCAAATTAACTGACATAATCGGAGTCTCTGAGGATGTTCCTTTCACAGAGTTAGTTTTTAAATATCTGAAACCCATTTCTTTGATTATTGCTTTCATTAGATAGCCACAAAATATAAGTGAACTTAGGAGTCTTTAGCATATATAAATATTCCATATTTCCATGGCACCTTTCATTCAGTATGCTCTCAATTTCATGAAAAAGGCATTCTTGATTTCTGGATGAAAACAAAGAGATATGAATACGAACCAGAGACATCACTATTGCCCCTTTTGAGTCCTTCCTCATCTGTGCTCATTTGCTGGCATTTTTACACTTAAATAAGATGGTAACTTAGAGCAGGCCAGAATACAAAGTTTATGAATATATTGATTCTAACTGTAAATGGTGGTTCAAGATGAGTAATAAACAATCTCATTTCATGTTTCTGACTTAAATATATACCTGGATAGCCTAATTAAAAATGCTTGTGTGTGTGTGTGTGTGTGTATATTTATTTAGGGAGAGAGAGAGATTGGTAATTGTTAAGCTTAATTTTCAGAGTGAATGAAAGGATAATTTTATATCAGTAGTTTTCTATTTTTAGACATAAATTTACAAATTAAAAACATGTCCTCAAATATTTTTAATCAGCAGCCTTCCATTTCTGGTTGTATCATATAGAAAAGTTGTCTTTGAAAATTTTTGGAACTGGATGGTTCAAACTTCTTGCTCATAATATAACAATACAAATAAAAGTTTTTCCAAAGTACCTGTGAACAATATTTGGTCAGTTTTCCTGAAAAGAGGTTGAGTGAGAATAAGCAGAGGTAGTAAGATTTTAGAAGAGTTTCCTCGACCTAGTAGAGTTTTTAGACACTGGAATATTTTACTGGAAAAATCTATAACATTATAAAATTTCCCTTTTAGATACTCAGAATGTCCCTGCCTGAGGCAGCCACTGAGAGGGCACACCCAAACTGAGTCGCACACTGACCGCCAATCAGTAAGTACTTACTGAGTACCTGTCGTACATAAAAGGAACATGAGCGAAAACCACAAAAAGTCACACGTGGAAAATAGTTCTACTTAGGAGCACCTGGCATTGCTTTGTAGCTTGTTGAGAGCTGCTGTTGTAATGGTCCCAGGCCACACTTTGATTGATCAGACTTCTTTCCACCTTTAGCCCCAGAGCAGTGAGTGTCAGCCAGCTTTGGTATGAACAGAGGAGTGCATCCAATGGCCCCGCTGACACAGAGGCAGCTAAATAGGGGATTGGGCTGAAACTCCTGGCCATTATGGTAATGAACCCTGTTGAACTCGCATCCCACAGCTACAAGGTCTGAAAAGAGAAAAGAGTACAATCACCAAAGAAGCTATAACTAATAGACTGGACCTCCAATTATAAACCATAGAGGAAACAGCTGTCTCCTTTGTGAAGTCTAGTCCTCAGTTTCTTAGGCCCTGTCTGGAACTTCCTTCACAGAACATCTGTAAAAAGGTGAAAATGAGACATTTTCATTATGTTGTGGGCTATCAGCCCCAAATGGTCACTTCTGGAATTAAAACCAAGTAAAGGCTCTGCTCTGGAGTAAAGTTAATTAAAAAAATCAGTCTGAGTATAGCAATGAGATAATGATTGTAAATCTGAAAGATGGGTTGATGGCTGGTGAGACTGAGGTTTCCCCAGATGCCCAACAAGAGGCTAGGATATATTCTTAGGAATCAGGATACATGAATGACTGAGGTAATCATAATTTGTTTAACTACAGGACTGCAAGGTAACTCTTAAGAGAATTAGAGGAAACTTTCACTTCCTCTGAGGGGTATTATTGACCTGGATCCACAGTTCTAGAAGTGTGGCCCATGGACCCCTTGGCAATACCTGAGGCCCTTTCAGGGATCTGTAAGGTCAAAACTCTTTTTCATACTAAGATGTGACTGGCTTTTTCACTGTTGATATTTGCAGTGATGGTGCAAAAGCAGTGGTGGCTAAAACTGCTGCTGGCACCTTAGCGTGAATCAAACTGCACAGGTTAGTTATTGTATTTTTCCTGGCCATGCACTTGTACTTAAATGTACTTAGCAAAAAGAAAAAGCTAGTTTTACTTAAGAATGTCCTCAATGACACATTAAAAATTATTAGTTTTACTAAATCTTAACAGTCAAATGGATGTCTTTTTTTTTTTTTTTCTTGCAGGGAAAGAGTTGCCCTGAGTTAACATTTGTTGCCAATCTTCCTCTTTTTTATTCCCCCCTCCTCTCCAAAGCCCCAATGGTTGTATATCCTTGTTGTAAGTCCTTCTAGTTCTTCTATTTGAGCCCCTGCCACAGCATGGCTACTGATAGACAAGTGGTGTGGTTCTGCGACTGGGAAACAAACCCAGGTGGCCAAAGCAGTGAGAGCACCAAACTTTAACCACTAGACCATCAGGGCTGGCTCAAAATGCATGTCTTTTTAATATTCTATGTCACAAAATAGGAAGTATACATTGAGCATTTCTGTGAACCAAAGCACAACAGTTATCTGGAGGAAAGTCGCCTATGCTATTGTTTGAGTTGTGGGCTGAACTAGCCACTTTTTTAGTGGGAATTTCACCTGAAAGAATGACTGACGAATAAACCGTGGTTATTCAGACTTGAGTATTTGGTAGACATTTTCTTGAAAATGAACAATGTGAGCTTGTCACTTTAAGAAAAACAGCTGACAGTATTTGTTGCCAATGATAGAATTCAAGCTTTCGAGCAAAAATTAGAATTTTGGAAAACTGTATCTACCACTGAGGTCTTTATAGCTACCCAATATGTAGACTTTTCTGATGAGATTGGTATTAGTGTGATTTTTTTAATATTACATAATTGTGTATCAACATTTGAAATATCTATATAACCCATTTTTTCAAACTGTTATTTTCCAAATAACCAATGGATGGTATTACAAAATTATGCATGAGTAGAAGACATATTCCAAGTGGGTCTTGGATAGATAAGTGTGTTTTAATGTCACAGTTGGACAAGTTCATTGATGTAGTTTCAGATTCCATGATGCAGCTATTTTTAAGAAACTACCACTTCTCAAGTTTTAATATAATATCAAAAAAAGAATATTCACAATTATCTGAAAATCCTGTTAAAACATTCCTTCCTCTTCCAACTATGTATCTGTGTGAGGCTGGATTTCCTTCAGATATTTCAACCAAAACAACATGATTGAAAGCAGAAGGAGATGTGAGAATCTAGCTATCTTCTGTTAAGCTAGACATTAGAGAGATCTGTAGAAATGTAAAATAATTCCACTCTTCTCACTAAATTTTCCTTTGTTTTAGAAAATGAGATTTTTTTCGTAAAAACATATTATTCCTATTAATTTACAATGGGTTTGTTGTTATTTTTAAATGAATTACCAAATATTTTAAAATTTCTAATCCACTAAATATCTTAGAGATAACCCACATAAACAAAAGGTCTTTAGGTCCTCACTAATTTCTAAGACTAAAGGGGTCCTCAGATCAAAAAGCTTAAAAAACTGTTGTTCTAGATCAAGAATCAGCAAATTTTCTGTAAAGAGCCAAACAGTAAATATCTTAGCCTTTACAAGCCATAGTATATAGTACAGTCTCTGTGGAAACTACTGTGACTCTGCTATTGTAATGCACCCATAGACTATATGTAACTGAATGGGCATGGCTGTGTTCCAATAAAACTGTATTTACAGAAACAAGCTGTGGATCAGATTTGACCCCTGGGCTATCTAGTTTGTGACCCCAGGTATAGATTATTCCCCACCCCCATCCTCATAGCTATGCTCTCTTAAAATACTCATCACTTTGTATGTGAAATTACTCGTGGAGAGATCTGTCTGACACAAGAAACTGACTCTGTGAGGGGAGGGTCTGTATCTTTTTCTTTCCCTGTTGTGTCCTCAGTTGCTGGTCAAGGCACCTGGCTCAGTAGCTGATATTCACTAAATGTTTGTTAGGTTAATGAAATCACTTACCCAGCACTGTTTGGGAGAAAGGAGTGTCGTGAATGCCAGAGTCTGATAGGTCATGTTTTCCCTACAAAAGTTCCATAAATAATAGCTAACGTTTTTGAGAGTCTACTGCATATCAGATACTGTGCTAGGTGTGTTGGGTTTTATGTTATTATTTCATTTGATCCTCCTAGCAACTCTATAGAATAGGAAGTATATATGATATAACTAAGGCACAGAGAGGTTAAACAACTTGATCAAGGTCACTTAGCAGATAGAGCCCAGGATTTGAACCCAGAGCCTAAATTCTTCACCAGTATAATATAGAGCTGACAGGGGCATCAGGCTATCAAACTTGAATGGCTTTCCACATTCAGTCTGACTCCAAAATATGCTTTCATTCCATGCTCACAAACTTCTAGTAATTTGCATTCCCATTTAAGACTTTTCTACACAGTGACTAAACTGCCCAGCTGACAAGAGTATTTCCCTTCCCTTAAAAGTTTTACTTTTTGTCCTAAATAAATTGGCATCCTGAATTGTTGTCAAGGTGATATATTTAGATGGTCTCAATCAGTGTCCAGAGCTTAGACCCATACAGCTGGGGGTCAGGTTGTGACTTGGGGTGCCCTCACCTTTTTTACAATCTGCTTCAGTAAAAAGTACAGTAACTTGATGGTTAGTTGGGAAGGCTGATATTAGAGCAGTGTGTCTGAATACTAGATATACATCTTTACATTTTAAGCAAGATTATTTTTTCATTACAGAAAAAGCTGAATTCACATTGCTTTTGACAGTATTAACAAAAGCTGTTATTTTGTGGCACTTTAAGAAGTCAGACTATCTACATAATTTCTCCTATCTTTATCATTAAAAGCAATTACCTGAGAAGAACTCCAAGGTCGCTCCAATGCAATAAAAATCACAGAGGTTTCTGAACGTGTGTAAACATCTGCTAATTTCACATGGTGTCCAATATGATTGAGTCAGTCCCACTGGTGTGTGAAAACTAAACTCACCTCATATTTAGCCAAACTAAGCTGATTACTCCAAATTAACAATTGCAGAAAAAACTCCTGTCTAGACTCAACCTTTTCCAGCAGGTCCAGAAGAAGACACTTACATGCACACACTCCAGTCTCGTACCTAGGCCTGTCTGCTGAGTAGTCACAGTACAGCCCTTTGTGTGGGTCGCAGAGGTCGGCTTCATTGCAGGTGTCCCCTGGTTGCTTGGCACAGATTTTACAGCATCCGCAGCCATCCCTCACCAGGCTCACTCCAGGAGGGCAACTGGGCTCCTGATGAGGGCATTTACAGGGCCAGTGGCAAAACTGTTTACGCTGATGCACTTCTGAGACTTCGCCAGGCCTTCCTTCAGGGGTGCCCTGTGCCCTGCAGCAGAACTTCATTTGATAATAAAGGTGATGTTAGAAATGGTTCCTCAAACTAATTTCAGAGGTTTTATAGAAATAGATTCCCTCAAATTAGTAGAATACAGCGCGGTGAGTTGTAATAATACGTCTATCGGCATTTGACATCATCACTCTCTCCTTCAACTTTTCTTCACTCAGTTTCCCAGACATCACTCTCTTACAACTCCTTTCTCACTGATTGCTCCTTCTCAGTCTCCTTTGCTGGTTTTCTCTCATCCTCCTCATCTCTAAACATTGGAGCCCCCTGGGGTTAAGACCCCTAAAGTATCTTCTCTCACTATGTCTCATATCTCCCACCCAGACCTCTCTTCTGAACTCTGACTCAAATTGCCTGCTTAACAGATCTCCCCTAGATATTTGATAGGCATAGCTGATTTCACATGACCAACATCAAACTCCCAATTTTCCCCTCCAATCTACTCTTCCATAAACATCCCTATTTGAGCAAATGCCAATTTCATTTTTCCAGAATACCTTGGGGTCAGGTCATTCTTGACTCTTCTCTCACATTTTACATCCAATCCCTTTAGTAAATCCTGTTGGTTCTATCTTTAAATTATACCCACTCTGGTCATTTCTTAATACCCCCACTGCTACCATAGTGATCCAAGCCACAATTATTTTTTGCTTAGATGATTATAATAGTCTTCTAAAAGTTCTCCTTGCTTCCCCCTTTGTCCTCTATATTCTCCACTTGGCATCCAGGATGGTTCTTTTTTTAAAAAAAAAAAGCCAAGTTAAGTGGGATTACATGAAACTAAAAAGCTTCTACACAGCAAAGGAAACAATCAACAAAATGAAAAGGCAACCTATGTAATGGGAGAAAATATTTGCAAACCATATATCTAACAAGGGGTTAATATCCAACATATATCTGGAACTCATACAATTCAATGGCACAGAAAAAAATTTTAAAATGGGCAAAGGACTTGAATAGACATTTCTCCAAATAAGACATATAAATGGCCAACAGGTATATGAGAAGGTGCTCAACATCACTAATCATCAGCGAATGCAAATCAAAACCACAATGAGATATCTCCTCACACCTGTTAAGATTATTATTAAAAAAAAAACGATAAGTGTTGGTGAGGATGTGAAGAAAAGAGAACGCTGGTACACTGTTGGTGAGAATGTAAATTGGTACAGCCATTATGGAAAACAGTATGGAAGTTCCTCAAAAAACTAAAAATAGAACTGTCATATGATCCAGCAATCCCACTTCTGGGTATTTATCCAAAGGAATTGAAATCAGGATCTCGAAGAGATACCTGTACTCCCATGTTCATTGCAGCATTATTCACAATAGCCAAAATATCGAAACAACCTAAATATCCATTGATGGATAAAGAAAATGTGGTATACATATAATGCAATATTTTTCAGCCATAAAAAAGACAGAAATCCTGCCATTTGCAACATGGATGGACCTAGAGGACATTATGCTAAGTGAAATAAGCCACACACAGAAAGAGAAATACTATATGATCTCACTTATATGTGGAAACTAAAATAGTCAAACTCATAGAAGCAGAGAGTTGAATGGTAGTTGCCAGGGACTGGGGAGATGGGAGAAATGGGGAGGTGATGGTCAAAAAGTATGAAGTTTCGGTTCTGCAAGATAAGTCCTGGAGACTTACACAGCACAGTATCTATAGCTAACAATACTGTATTGTATACTTAAATTTGCTAAGAGAGTAGATCTTATGTTAAATGTTCCTACCACACCAAAAATAATAATAATAATAATAATAATAATAATAATAATAATAAAAAAGGGGGCAGAAGGAAACTTTGGGACGTGATGGATATGTTTACGGCCTTGATGGTGGTGATGGTTTCACGGGTATATACTTAACCCTGAACTCATGGAATTGTATACATTAAATATGTACATCTTTTTACATGTCAATCATACCTCAATTCATGTCACTCCTTGCTTATAAGGGGTGGCTTCCTCATAGCTTCCCATTTCAATGTAAAATCCAAACTGCCCTCCAAGGCCCTACAACACCTGCTCCCCATTCCCACTCTCCCCGCTGCTTGCTTCACTCCAGCCCCACTGGCCTCCTTGATCTCTGAAGACTCCAAGTACGCTCTTCCCCCGGGTATCTTGGTGGCTCACTCTGACTTTCGCTAGGTCTGTGCTCAAATTGATCAGTGAGGCCCTTCTTGCCCACCCTTTATAAACAGCATCCTGCCCCAGCTCTTTCCCTATAGACCTTCATACCACCTACCTTATTACCTATATGTTTTCCTTATTTATTTTCAGAGTCACTCATCAAGAATGTGAGCTTCTCGAGGGCAAGCTCTTTGCCTAATGTCTGTTTTCTTGTCTAGAGAAATATTTATTGAATGAAAGAACATGGTACTTCCTATGTGTCAAGTACCTTACATGATTATATCATTTAACCTTCATAACAACAACATGGAGTAGTTATTACCCCCAGGTGATAGGTACGATAATGGCACCCTCAAAGATGTCCATGTCCTAATCCCCAGAACATATTAATGTTTCCTTACATAGCAAAGGGGATTTTGCAGATGTAATTAAAGATCTCAAGATGAGATTATCCTGGATTATCCAGTTGGGCCCAATGTAATCACAAGTGTTTTCATACAGGAAAGAGAGAGGCAGGAGCATCAGAGATGTGATGATAGAAGCAGAGGTAGGAGTGATGCCACTGCTGAAAGGGGGTTACAAGCCAAGGAATACAGGCAGCCTTTAGAAGCTAGAAAAGGCAAAGAACAGATTCTCCCCTGGACCCTCCAGAAGGAACGCAGCCCTACCCGCACTTGATTTTAACCCTATAAAACCCATTTTCAGACTAGAGATGTCCAGAACTGTAAGATAATAAATTTGTGTTGCTTTAAGCCACTAAGTTTGTGGTAATTTGCTAGAGTAGCGATAGGACACTATACACCCCATTTTATTAATGAGGAGGCTGAGGCTCGGATTATTTAACCTGTCCTGGGTCACATATCAAGTAAGTGGTAGAACAGGGATTTAAACCAGGCAGAGTCCAGAGCCCGCGCTCTCAACCCTTCCCCTCCTTCCTTCCCCAGTCCAGGTCTTGCCACAACCAGCTTCGGTATTGAACAAATCACTGAATCTCTGCGTCTGCTTCTCCTTGCCAGCCTAGACCTCTCCCCTAAGCTTACAACTCATTAATTTCTACTGGGTCCATCCACTTTGCTGTCCCACAAGCACCTCATTTTCTCCCTCCCCCCGACAAACTGCTCCTCAGCTAGTAGTTCCCATTTTAGCGAGTGGTGGCCCCATCCACTGAGTTCCCCAAGCCAGGAAGTTAAAAATCAAGTTCACTTCCTCCCCCTCCTTCATCCCTCACACCTGAAGGTCACTAACACAGGAAAGTCCAAGCTCCTAAGCACAGCATTCAGGGCCCTCCTCACCTCTTGCATTCCTTACATTCCTTAGGTTCTAGCAAGTTAAAGTGTCTGCAGTCCCTGCATATCTGATGCTGTTCCTTCTGCCTGTAACATTCTTCACCTGACCCCAGTCCTTTACCTAGTTATCCTTCAGGGCTCTGTTTAGGTATCACCTTTTCCAGAAACCTGTCTATAACCTTTCCCCGCCTCCCCTTTACATGTCTCTGTACTGAAATTCTGTAAGAACCGGTCTTCTCCTCTTGCCGTAAAGCTACCCAGCCTCAGGGATTTGTGGTTCACTTGTTGGTGTACTGTTGGTACCCAGCACAGTGCCTGGTGAGTAATATATGTAATTAACTCTCAATTTTTATTTGATGGAACTGAAGGCAGTTGGACTGATCCAGAGATCCAAACCTCTTTCCAACTCAAAAACTCTACATTTAAAAGTATCAGTTTGAAATTCCACCGTTAAACACTCAGCCTTTTCTCTTATCACTAGTAAAACATGTATTCCCTGGAGTAACACCATGAGCTCCTATTCAAGCTGAATACACAACGCGAGAATCGATTTTGAGGATACAGTGCGGGGCTTCTGGAGAAGGAAGAAGGGAAGAGAAAATACGAAAGTGGAGAAGGGAGTAGAAATAGCAAGGCTAAGAAGAGTGACTGTCTACTTCTTAATTTTGCACAGGTTCAGCCGAGGTTACCAGGGACTCCTTGCCAGGTTCAGTGGCCTCTCAGCTGGGCTCACGTCTCTCGGTCCTCCCCGTGCCCCACCTCTCTAAGGTGTGTGACTCTTTCTTAATCCTCTCCTCTCCCTTTGCTTTTATGACACGAGGTCCTCCCAGTTCTAGCTCTACCTCTCAACATACTGTCTCAGTCTCCTGTGCCTCCTTTATCCTGAATTTGACTTAGATATAGGCTTATGGGTGTTTCACGACCTTAACGTATTGCTTTTCTCACTCTGCACACTGTCTCTTGGCAATTTCATCCACCCCCTTGCCTTCAAATTCCACCCTATGCAGCTTCAAAACTAAATTTCTAGCCAGGACTTCTCCACTGAACTCTGGACCCATATGGCTGACTGCCTACTGGACACGTCCACTTGAATGTCCTACAGGAAGAACTCATGTCCGAAACTCATCATTTTCCCCCCAGACAGCTTCTTCAAAATTTGGAGTTAGGGGCCAGCCCCAGTGGCCTAGTGGTTAAGTTCAGCGCGCCCCCCTTTTGGCGGCCCAGGTTCAGTTCCCGGGTGCCGACTTACACCGCTCTATTAGCAGCCCTGCTATGCTGGCAGCCCACATACTAAAAAACAGAGGAAGATTGGCTTGGATGTTAGCTCAGGGCAAATCTTCCTCAGGAAAAAAAAAAAAATTTGGAGTTAGGAAGCTAGGAGTCATTGAGGTCATCTTCCTCTCCCTCATCTCCCATAGCCATTCAGTGACTAATCCTGCTTGTTGTCTTCATATCCCTAGAACTAGTCATCATTCCCCATTTTCATTGCTACTAACTAATTACTATTGCAGTAAGTTCCTAATTGGTCTTCCTCCCTCAAGAGTGACTTCTCAAATGAATCTCCCACATTGCTACTGAAACTTCAAAAAAACATATCTGCTCATATTACTCCTCTCCTTAAAGCCCATCAGTGGTTCCCTACTGTCTACAGTATACAGTACAAACTTCTGAGCATGATATCTAAAGCCGTCTCTGCCAGCTCATGCTGACCTCCCTAGCTTCAGCTCTCAATGCACTCTCTTCTTATGCACTGCAGTTTTCCAGACTCACCATGTCGATGTTCTCCTCCATGCCTTTTCTCACATTGCTCCCTCTGATGAAATGCCTACTCCCAAAACTGCCCACCTGGGGACACCTGTTTATCTTTCCAGTCTTGAAGTATCTCTATATAATCTCTGAGGCCAAAAGGTAACACTGTTGAAAACCAAAGATCAAGAGAAAATCTTGAAAGCAGCCTGAGAAAAGGAAAGCATCACATACAGGAGAAGAACAATGAGATCTGACTTCCCATCAAAAGAAGAAGGAGACTAAGATGTTCTTCAGTAGGGGAATGGATAAATAAACTGTGGTACATCCAGACAACGAAATATCATTCAGTGCTAAAAAGAAATCAGCTATCAAGCCATGAAAAGATGTGCACATTACCGAGCGAAAGAAGTCAATCTGCAAAGACTACAAACTGTACAATTCCACTCATGACATTCTGGAAAGGGCAAAACTATGGGAGCAGTAAAAAGATCAGTGGTTGCCAGGGGTTGGGGGGAGAGGTGGAGCACAGAGCACAGAGAATTTTTAGGGCAGTGAAAATACTCTGTATAATACCAAAATGGTAGGTACATGTCACTGTACATTTATCCAAACCCACAGGATGTTCAACAAGAGTGAAACATAACGTAAACTACGGGCTTTGGGTGATTATGACGTGTGAATGTAGGTTCATCAATTGTACAAATGTACCACTCTGGTGGGGGATGTTGATAATGGGGGAGGCTATGCATGTGTGGGAGCAGGGGGCATATGGGAAATCTCTACACATCCCTCTCAGTTTTGCTGTGCACCTAAAACTGCTCTAAAAAAAATTTTTTTTTTTAAATGGAAAAGGAAGAGGAGGAAGAGAAGGAGAAGAAGAACAAGATGCCTAGAGACAATGCTGAAAGAAAAAAAAAACTGTCAACCTAGAGTTCTATCTCCAGTGAAATTATCTTTCAAAAATGAAGGCAAAATAAAAGACATTTCCAGGGGCCGGCCCGGTGATGCAGCGGTTAAGTGCACACACTCCGCTGCAGATGCCTGGGTTCGCAGGTTCGGATCCCAGGCGCACACCAACACACCGCTTGTTAAGCCATGCTGTGGCAGCGTCCCATATAAAGTGGAGGAAGACAGGCACGGATGTTAGCCCAGGGCCAATCTTCCTCAAGAAAAAGGGGAGGATTGGCATCGGATGTTAGCTCAGGGCTGGTCCTCCTTGCAGAAAAAAGAAAAAAAAAAAAGACTTTTCCAGATAAACAAAAACAGAGAAATTGTTGCTAGCAGACCTGCCTCACAAAAAATACTAAAGAAAGATCTTCAGTCTGAAGGGAAATTACAATAGATAGTCATTCAGAAATACAGGAAGCAATGAAGAGTCCTGGAAATGGCAAATATGTGGATAAATATAAAGAATTATTTTGTTTTCTCCTTTCTTTGGACATAATTTTGATTGTTTTCAAAAGCAAAATCTCAAAACAACAAAAGATTCATCAGAATGATGCAAAAGAAAGAATGAGGGTTTTGACAACAGACCTGAGCTTTAGCATAGCTCTGTGATCTTAGATAACTTTCTAACATGTATTTGATCTTTGAACCTCAATCCTCCTCTGTAAAATGGGATTAATAGTATTCACCTTGCAAGGTTATTTTGGGGATTAAGATAATGACTAACATACCAGCACAGTGCTTGGCTCATAGCAGATGTTCAATAAATGGTAGGTATTATCAGACCCTCCAAAATTCATAATGGCAAAGTTAAGCAAAATAATACTTTCTTGTTGATCTATGTATAACACTTTTTTGTATTTGTTTTTATTTTTCATTTTGAACACATCTCTCTGTTGGAATAATTACCATTTATAAGTATATTGTAGCTCTCAACCCACAGTAATGACAGGCCGTTTCTCAAGAACGGTGGAATAGGACATAGGCAGCCCCATCTCACTTCACACTTACTGGGAAAATGTGCCTCCCTCATAACAGCGGGAATGAACTGTACCCTGGACATTCTTGTTCTGATCCTTTTAAAATCGTAAATCTTTTCCTATATAACAATTTTCAATCCCTTGTTTTCTAAGATGTATCTACTACTTACCGCCCCAATCAACTATTAACTCACAGACATGTCCACGTTTTCTCAATCACCAGACGGTTTCAAAACTGTGTCCTCTGTGCAAGCAATAACCTCCCCCATGTAAATAAATCCATAAATAAGTCACCCTGTTTTAATCTTCTCATTAAAAAATACCAAGGCAATGAATTGCTCATATTAAATTAAACTTCCCTTTGGTCTGTCCCTTGAAATATTTCAAAGTCTCCACGGACCAATTCCCTTTCATAAAAAGTGAGAAACACATGGGTCGAGAAAAGACAACGTCATAGAATGTTTTAAAAATATAAATATTTGTCCCAAAGTGCTCCTTTCAAACAAGGACAGGCTTAACCAAAGCAAGTTGTCAAAATCATTTTTTCCAGTGGCTCTTTGCACATTTTGTACACAACCATGGAAAGTTGAGCCCGGCCTGGAGCCCACAAGAAGGGGCACCTTCACTGCACCGGGCCAGGCAGGGCTGCGGCTCCCCAAATACGTGGTGTGTGTTCTACTCCAATTAAAAATATACATATTATTAACATTTGGGAGCTGTCCAAACATATCGAAAGTAGGATTAAATGCCATTACCTGAAAAGGAGAAATGTTTTCCACTTCTTTCGTGAAGCTTCTAAACTAAAACAGAACTTTATTTGGAGAGGAAAATGGCTCCCTATTTCTCATGAAGTATTTCCACAAGGAATTTATCCCTCCTCTTCCCCCATCTTCTTCCTTTTTGATTTTTGACCTGAAGAAACAAGAAGTGCGGTAGTCTCCTGGCAGGAGGCAGTAAGGAGGGAGATCTTACCTGTGACAGGGCAGCGAGGAGAAGAGTGGGAAGGAGGAGCCCCTGCATGTTCCCAGGACCGTGCAGCACCCCCGGGAGACAGCAGGCCGGCGTGCTGGTGGCCCCGCACAAAGCTGCCCTCTGTCTCCTCACTCACCCGCCTCCGCCTCCCACGCTACTGACTGGCGCTCAGACTCCCAGACTCTGCGTTCGCCTTCCCGGATCTGTTTTAATAGCCTGTTTACTCTCATGCGACTCTTCTCCTATTTACCTTCGCGGTGGCGTGGACTGTGTCGCGATGGTGTGAGCGCTTGCCTTTCCTCCCGGGCTGAGAAGGGCAGCTCGAGTGGTGACTTTTCTTTGAGTAACTGTTCTACCTGTTCCTAGAGATCAGAGCCTGCCCTGGGGCAGCATGGGAAGTTAGCTGCGTCTCCCTTCCTTACCTCTCCCGGGTTTGCCCTGCCCCCGGCTCTGCTCTGCGCAGCGCTGCTCCCCACAGCCTCAGGCACAGAGGACGGGCCTGGTCTCTGCCCCCAGCACCCCAGTCACAGCCTGCTCCGGGCTCCCCCTTCACATCGTGACAGGTTTCCAAAGGCCTTCCCTGGCCCCTCCAGCTTCTGATTCTCTCTCTGACATCCCTGTAGGGTGCCTTGTGCTGACCTCCCTCACAGCACACCTCTCACACGAGGTGGATTATGATGGGAAAAAATGTAGATGGAACACGGGCGGATGCCTACAGTGCCCGGCCTGAGAGCAGCCCCCTTCTGTGGACACAGTCCCATGACAGATGAGAGAGAAGTTAGCCCCAGAAGATAAAGCAATTACACTAGGGGCAATCCTTTATTTAATGAATTAAGATTTAAAAAAAAAAAAAAAAAACTTATTACAAGTTTGTACTTCTTCTCCTTCTAATTCTCACCTCCCTGATGTGCGTGGCCACCAGCCTATCTCCTCCTGTGTCCCATCGTGTGTGAGCTTTGCTTATCCCACTTTCTAGACCTTGGTCTTTGTTCATGTATCTTGACGTGCATCTGTGATGGGGCTTTGTCTTCTTCTGGGTCTGGTGTCTGGTCCACCTTCCTGCCCCCATCCCAGGGCCTACTTCTAGTCCCTTTGACCGGCTACCTAGCCCACCTTTTCCTGTTACCTTACCTCTCCTGGCTCACTGCTCACCTTTGTCTCTGTTAAAGGCAGTTGCAGCTGTATAAAGACAGCGAGTGAAGGTCACTCAGGCCTGAGCCCAAATTCTGGGGAAAAACTGGCCTCTCCACCAACAACAGGGAATCGGGTGTCCTTAGAGAGCCAGGGACTCCATAGAATGTGCAAACAACTGTGCGAAGCTTACTAAGTTGTCAAGTAAACCATAATTATATACACATCAAACAACAAGGAATACCCAGTATAGTTATGGTGTCAACTCCTTCTGTGTGTGTCTTGGCCCAATCTGATCTATTTCTTTTCTCTTTCCGGTTTAACACCGTTTGGTCTTCGGGTTCCCAGCCTCAGTGATTCATGCACCACCCCGGCCACGAGAATGGATCATTTCTGGTTTCCTTACTGGTCCATCAAAAGCAGAAGCGTCTCAGCCCAAGACTAGTGTATCCGTCAACTACATCCCTCCTGCCCCAGCTCTCTCTGTTCCAAATGTGATGCTGCATATACCTGTGCAGTGTTTGAACTAAAGGAGATTCATGTCCTCCCATTTGTTCTCAGTGAAATGCTGGCAGCAGCAGCCATTTTTCTGGAAATGGCTTCCGTCCCTCTGCAGTCTCTCTGCCACAGGTCAGGGGAAGGTGTCATACCCACCATTCTTGCTTCTTAGTAGGAAAGGAATATCTCAGTTGAGAACTAACTTGTGAATCCTCCGTCATGTACAGAATTGATGGTCTCTGGCTTACTTGCTGTCACACGTGTTGGGACATCTCCAGCTGTGGGCATGCTCCTATTTCACTATTTGAAGCCTGCTATGGAAGGACTACGTGAATACGGTATTTTTAGAGACTGGGGCTGCCATCTTTGACTTTAGACAATAAGAGCTCTCACGACGTACACCCTATTCTAAGCGCTTTCCCCTATCATCTCCTAACAAAATGCTAATCTGTCGAGGAGCTCATTTCCCAAGTGTTCAGCTTGTGATGTACATTCAAATAGCACTGAGCATGACTGATACTGGCATCATGTTTTATGATTTACAAGGAAGTTTCACATGTATGATCTCTTTTAATTTCACAGCTCAGTGAGGGAGGCAAAAGCAGTATTACCATCCTTGTCTAACAGATTAAAAAGCTGAACGTAAGTGATTGTACTTGGCCAATAAAACACACTGAATCCCTGCCCTCTGGAGCTATACAATCTACTGGGAGAGAAGACACTAAAATAAACACACAAAGTATCCATAATTAAAAATTGAATAAAGGCTGATAATAAAGAACAAGAAACTCTAAGACAGAGTGACAGGTAGAAGCTAGTTTAGATTAGGGGGCAGAGAGGACATCTGTGAGGAAGTGACAGAGAGAGTTGAGCAATGAAGCCAGCTGAAGGGTTGGGGAAGACTCTTGGTCCAGTGCTCCTTCCACTGGCAAAGTGCACACCTCCGATGGTGACGAGCTCCACCTGCCAAGAGCACAGTCCACTGCCCTTCCCATAGATTCCTGAAATTGTTCTATCATCAGGAACATTACCACAGCTAGAATATTCCCTTCTTCTGGGAGGATCGCCCATCGGGGCAGGCAGAGATCAGAACTCACACCTTCTGTCAGCGTGCCCAGCACAGGATGAGTCCTTTTCCTCATCCCCTCTTCCTTCTTTTCCTTTCTTATTGGTGGGGACAGGATGCTGTTGTCAGCCCTGAGAAAAGAGACAGACATCCCTGGTGTAGTAATGCTGAAAGTGCTGAGGGTGGGTCGATATTTACATCAGTGAAACTAGAGATGTGATAATAACAACAGCTAACAATCAATGAGTGCACAAGGTGCCCCATCCTTGCGCAGAGTGTTGTCTACGTATTAATGCATTTGATCCTCCCAACAACCCTGCCGGATAGGGACTGTGATTACCATCTTTGTTTTACTTGTGAGGAAACAGACAAGGAAGGCCACATGGATAGCAAGAGGTAGGGCCAAGATTCCAAGCATTTACTCCCCATGCTCTGCTGCCGCTCTGCATGGCCTATAAATTACACAATAACCTGTAGCAGGAGGATTTATTGACATACTAATTTGCATTGCATTCTCAACATTGTTCTTCCTCCTGCTCCTGTCTTCAGTCTCAAAAAGTTAAGGAAGTCTTTTACATTCCTCTCCATCCATCCTCCAGATATTGGAAGCTGCTAGAATGTTTCATCTTGTGTTTTAGGGAAGCTTGATCTCACTGAAGAGGTGGTGCTGGGAGAGGAGGGAGGGGAGTGAATTTGAGGCAGCCAAGAGGAGGAGGAAGCACATAAAGACCATGGGCTGGGTGAGCACTGGACACTGAGGCCGTCTCCGAGGCACAGCCCAGGGAAGTGGCAAAGCCCGGAGGGACCCGGTGTCCCATGGTGCTCCCAGGAGACTGACCTGGTGCCGGGCTCCGCGTCGGCAAGTGCTCCGAGGAACTCTGCGCATGTGCAAAGCATTTAGTACCTGTGCAGACGTAGACCGTTAGGGTGAGGGCAGAAGGCTCAGAAAGTGCAGACCCGAGGCCTGGCCTCTTTTCTAGGCACCGGCTGGGCCTCCTGGATCGTTGTTCAGCCTCCACTGGTGGTGGTGGTGGGAGGAATGCACCAACGATAGCTCACAACAAATTTATCTCTAGATGGAGATGGGGGAGGGTGGTTCAAAGCCAGGTTTAACTTTAATTTTAACTTTAATTAAAATTTTATTAATTAATTAAATTTCATTAATTAAAATTTTTATTTTAATTGAAGAAAATGAAGAAATGAATATTTCCTACACTCCTGGATTTGTGGAGTCACATTCGTACTTGTTACAAATACCATAATTCTCACAAAATCGCCATTCTCATTGAGTGTGTCCTCTCTCCTGAAAATTCGCAGCCTCAGACCCAAAACCAATGCTGGGAGCCTCTGCCCCATCTCCTCTGGCTCTCGCTCTGCTCCCAGCGGGGCCTGCAGCTAGGTCTCTAGTAATTCGGGGATTCTTCCAGCCGGGTTGCTCCTGCAGGCCCAGCAGTGCTGAAGGACATTCACATGGCAGGTGCTCGATAAACACTTGTTGGTTGTTTAAAAGGACTCTTTTAAAATCACCCTATGAACTAAGCTAAGCATGTCTATAATTTTGCATCCATGTATCCACTGCCACACTCTGTGCCCGCTTTCTATTACTAATGATTGAACTTCTCACTTACCTTTTCCTACATGCACAGTAGCCTTCTGTTAAATGCATCCCAATTATTTTACAAAGCTCTCGCTTCAAGATCCCAACATAACTTCCACGATACGTGCAGGAGGGAGCCCGTGTATTCTCTATTCTTCCTCCACCAACCTACACAAGCCTAGCTCGCCTACATAAGCCTAGCTCACCTGTGCGTTCTCTGAGGGGCTGCCCTGTGCTAAGGCGCTGCCAGTGCCCCCACCCCGGAGGGAGGGCTGGAAGAGCTGCCAGGCTCTGCTTGGCCTCTCGTCCAGCTTTTAGTGGACAAAGTCCAAGAAGGAGCAGCCCCTGACACCTGCAAAACGCCAGCCCTGCCGTCTGCGTGGGCCTCGCGGCAGAGTCTCCTCCAAAAGAAGCAGGTGCCCTCATTCCCAGGGCATCAGGAAGTCAGGCTGTGGCCCAAGGAAAACAAGGCCCAATACTTTGGATCTAATTCACTTTGCCAGTTGGCCCTGTTGGTCTGGTTTGCAGGGGAAGCCCTGCGTGAGAAAGAGAGCTGAGTTCATCAGATGCAGGCGCTGAAGGCAGCCACGTGAGAAGCATGAAGGGAGAGAAGAGGAGGATGAGGTATTTTCCTTATTTCCAAATGTGGGCAGAGCTCGTCTTCCAGGGAAGGAAAACCATGCATAACGATGTGTCATTCTTAATCTTAAACCTGATTGCATGTGTGAATCGTAATCCAGTTAGATGGGCAGGCCCCCTGGCAGAGTGAGAGGCACGCTGGACTTGGAGCTGGAAGACCCCAGTTCACATCCAAGTTCTGCTGCTTACGAGCTCGCTGACCTTGGCCCTTCTCCTACCGGTCT